GGCAATGCTACAGGCTTAGGGACAAGTAGCTGAAGGCTGTGTAGAGGAAACAGACCTGAGGAATCCAGGAATCTTACAAAAATATTGTGCCATACATTTGCAAGGCCAGCATTCCCAACCCAGGGATGTCAGGAGCGGCCGTGGTTCAGATCTGCCCAGCTCAGCACCATGCAGTGCTCATCTCATGCCGGGAGAGCAATCTGCTTACCCAGCACAGCCTTCCCAAACATATGTTTCCTGGGAAGAGCCGGAGGTGGCAGCATGTGACATTTCACAAATGGAGCTTCTTTTCCTGTTGGTAGCTTTACTCTTTTCCACCTTTCCAGCGAAGCACACAGAATGAGATTTTCTCACATTTCCTATGAGCAGAGAATAACAGACCACGCGGAAAGGTTCAACTGAGATGCTGGAGAAGGTACACAGCACACGATTAACAGATGAGATCCTCAGATAGAACAGGAGCACAGCCAGCAACACCACTGTTATCACAGCACAGGCATAAATATTCATGGCCAGCTATAAGGGGAGACGACAGCAGCCCTCAGTCCACAATTAGAAACGAACCTAAGCTTTTGAACTAATCAAACGAGGTAAACAGCACCATAATGAGTCTTAATCAAATGTTATCTGCTACAAACACTCTCTTGAGGGTCGTAGATATCCTAATTACAAGACAAAATGCATCCCCATATAATTAAGTGGAAATTGGATTAATTGCTGCGGAGGCCCCAAGACCTTCCTAGAGAGAAGACCTCAGCACAGATGGGATATCTCCCAGCATCACTGAGAGAAAATATTTCAGCCCTGAGACCGACTGCACTACTCACACCAGGCAAGGAAAGTGCTGGGATCTTCAGTGTGAGAGAGATCTGAGATGAATAGGATTGGAGTAACTCCGCCTCAGGGCCTGGGATGCAGGCTGAAGAAACAATTATGGAAGCTGAAAAGTCAGCTTCAACTCTTCCTTATTTCTGCAGGACAGATTAGTGGAGAGAGTATATATATGCATAGTATATTTAATACAGTTATATCTCTAATAGCTCTGATAGTGGGGAATTGGGAAGATGTTTTAAAGAAAATGAGAGCTATCAAACTGCCTGAACCAACAGCCATAGCAAAGAGAAGTCCAGGAGTTCATTTTGGTTAACTCGGTTGGTTGAGTGCAAAGGAGCTACACAAATCATTTATTTTCCTGAATTACTGAGTCTTTAAGGTGCCCACCTCCTCTCCAGATGATGCTCAAATTGTGCCACGTCCAGGTCTGCTCCCAGTGCTCGTCTTTTTTGGAATCCACCCCATGTGAATCAGAGGTTAAAAGCTGTTCTGACAAGGATGGAGCTCCTCTGAATCTGAACTCCATGCTGTAGCATTAATTGCACCAAATTCTAGCCTTCTGCCAGGGCCAGAGGTATTATCAGACATATATAAGAAATGAGCAGAACAAAACCAAGCCCTTCCACAAACCAAACCAAAACCTTTTCACCTTAAGAGCAATAAAGAATGTGCTATGGTTATCAGTCACAGCCATTGTGTATCACAGAACCACAGAATGGTTGGAGTTGGAAGGGACCCCTAAAGGCCACTGGGTCCCACTGCCAGCAATGAACACCCACAGCTCCATCAGGTGCTCACAACCCCATCCCCTGACCTTGGGTGTCTCCAAGACATATAATCCATCATCTGCTACCTATCAATTGGACAAGAGCCTTCAAGCAAAAGTCATATTTTTCCCAAATTTTAATCAAGGAGAGTGCTCTGTGAGAGATCACCAAGAAAAACGCCTTCTATAACATGGAGAGCAAGATCAAAAATAACCCACTGAGCTGTGAATGTGCCAACCTCCGTCCTTCTGTTGAAGCACTACATCTTGAATAAGGCAAAAACCAACAGGAACCAGGTTTCTTCAAGATGTCTCCATTGGATGCACATTTTTACTGTATCCCTTTGCTTCAAAATGTGCCCAACTCCACACCCTCACTGCTTTTGAGACAAAGCTGTAAGTTCTACATACTGCACAGCTCCTGGGTTCCTCTCAGCTGCTGGCTTTCAAAGGGTTCTGCATGTCTGAAGAAGAGGGCAAAGAGATGAATACATCCATGCACAGCAGATAATTGAGAAACTACATTACCAGCTCACATCTTTTCTATTTCAACTGATTTTGCCCAAAGAGGTGTTGGTGCCCCATCCCTGCAGACACTGAGGTCAGGGGATGGGGCTCTGAGCACTGATGGAGCTGAAACAGGAGGTTTAGGTTAGATATTAGGAGGAAGTTTTTCAGCCAGAGGGTGGTTGGGCAGTGGAACAGGTTGCCCAAGGAGGTTGTGGATGCCCCATCCCTGCAGGCATTCAAGGCCAGGCTGGATGTGGCTCTGGGCAGCCTATTCCAGCACCTCACCGCTCTCGTGGTAAAGAATTTAAGTGACTGAAAGACACTGGTGACTGGAAAGGTGACATTTTAACTACAACACAGTCTGGCACCACAAAACCAAGGAACGACATCATTTTCCCTCTTAGCTTTCTACCAAACACTGTGAAACATATCTCATAGAAAAACATTCACCATCTCTACCTCTTTCGAGTGCTGCTTGGTGTTTACAACGATTGCATCCATCACTCTGCATTTGCTCTCGTTAGATGTGAGGACTGTGAGCTATTTTTTCCCTTCTTTGCTGCCTTTCTGACTCACCTTCCTGGCAGGGTGCTTCCTGCCCACTGTGCCTCCCAGCTGCGCTCCATCCCTCCCTCCACTTTTGGAAAAGACCACTGCTTCCTACTGAATGCTGCTGGCCTTACTGCTGATCTCATTCCTCAATTGTTTTATATAAACCTTTGCTTCTTGGTACTGCCTGTCTATTCCCAGCTATACTGAGAAGGGTCCAGAGGAGCCACAAAGATGATCAGAGGGCTGCAGCACCTCCACTACAAAGACAGGCTGAGGGAGCTGGGCTTGTTCAGCATGGAGAAGAGAAGGCTGCAGGGTGAATCATTGCAGCCTTCCATCACCTAAAGGGAGCCTACAGACAGGAGGGGAGTCAGCTCTTGGAAAGGGGAGATAACAGCAGGACAAGGGAAATGGTTTGAAGTTGAGGGAGGGAAGATTGAGGTTGGATGTCAGGGGGAAGTTCTTTAGAGAGAGAGTGGTGAGGTGCTGGAACAGCTGCCCAGAGAGGCTGTGGATGCCCCGTCCATCCCTGCAGGTGTTCAAGGCCAGGTTGGATGGGGCCCTGGGCAGCCTGGGCTGCTCTGAAATGTGGAGGTTGATGGCCCTGCCTGTGGTGGGAGGTTGGAGCTTCGTGATCCTTGAGGTCCCTTCCAACCCAAGCCATTCTATGGTTCTATATTCTGAGACATTCTGTGGCTGAGGCTAAGGGAATCTGCAAGTTTGTCCCAGTCTCTCTCAGCTCATCCCCTCTGAAAGCCAACTTTCTGCTGGGCAGAAAGCCTCAAACACTCTCAGGTCTCTTCTTTGCTGTCTTTGCACAGACAGGGGCTGGCTGTCACTCCCTCCTCGTGCTCCCTGCAGTGTTCATCCAGCACCACGGCCTGATTCCTACCACCCATCTCCTCCTTAGCCTTCATTACAGCAGCACTTACTTCCAACATTCAGGCTTCCAATGATTTAACAAATAAAAATACTGGTGTCCATGTTTGCTCTCTGCCACCCAGCCCAAGGGATCGTGCTATCTTTTTGCTCAAGCACATTTCCACCCATTAATTAGGTTCTGTTAATGATGCCTACTCAGGATTTGCAAGCACTTCAGCTCTGGAACTGATCAATGCTATTTTTGTGCAAGAACCTTCTCCTCTGCAACTTCTCACCCCGATTTTGTTTCTGCTGCTGTTTTTATCTTCCATTCCCATGCTCTCTGTGTACTTAATCATTAATCACACACACACCAAATCACTCTGGAGCACAGACCGTTGGAAATACATTACTCAGAATGAAAGACAATTGCATTTGAGAACACTTTCTGCTCAGAGAAGTGGGTTTGTTTTAGCAGAGAGGTGAACGTTCAGCCTATCAGTATGTGGAATATTTTCACTCTGCATTTTCTAACCTCTTGAGCTGGAAATCACATTCCTAATTACACCAGGTACTCTGATTATCTACTAGAAGCACTTAACTGAAATAACTGCATTTGCTCTATAGTTTTAATTATGCAACACGCTCAGCTGTAAATGAGTAGATCATTTCCTCTTGTTTGCAGTAGCTCCTGTGGCCATGCAGACCACAGCCAAACTCTGGCAGTCAAACACAAAGCCAAGAGCCTGCTAAGGCCCCCAGAAGGCCTCACAACCCACTGCAGCCTTTTCATGAGTGCCTCAGAGTGGAGGCACGAGATGATACAAAGAGCCCTTGCAGTACTTTCCCATTGACACTACAGATATGTATATCCAAAATGACAGGTTGCCCAAGGAGGCTGTGGATGCCCCATCCCTGCAGGCATTCAAGGCCAGGCTGGATGTGGCTCTGGGCAGCCTGGGCTGCTGGTTGGCGACCTGCACACAGCAGGGGGTTGGAACTGGATGAGCACTGTGCTCCTTTGCAACCCAGGCCATTCTTTGAAACAGTTTCTGTGTTCTCACAGAAGTCACGTTGGCACATGGTAACTCCTTCTAGAAACATAGAAGCACAAGTATGGAGAGATGATCACGGTTTTCTGCTGCCAGTCCCTTCAAGTAGAAGGGAAATTGAGGTGGCTTTTGGTCTACTTAAGACACAGGCTCCAAACAGAGACATTTCCACAACAGCAGGAAACACAGCAAATCCCACCACTCTCCATCAGGAGGTTCTTTTCAATGTAATTCTTTTTACCTCCTATCTTTCAGTAAGTTCATTCAGTGATTTGAGAGGTAAGAAACCACAGAAAACCTACCTGGCAGGTAGGTTAAAATCCCCTGATTTTGGATGCTTACATTTCCACACCTAGAATCAAACAGCAGTAGCACAAACCATTCCATGGTAAGAAATGAAGGTGCCCAATGATTCCTTTCTTTACCTCAGCCTTGCGAATGCTCTCTCTGGCTTCATCTATTTTCTGCTCCAGTTCCACTCGGGTTTGTTCAGACATCACAGGCCCGTGGCATTCCAGCTCTTCAAGTGTCTGCCAGAAATAGGAAAGTGCACCGAAGGTGGGGGAAATGTTACATGACAAATACAGCAATTCACAGCAATGGTTGGCTGACAAGGCCAAGGGACAGCAATCCATCCCAGGCAACAAAATGATGAACACAACACCACCGAAAAGCACAGCATTTCAAATGGAAGTTTACTTCATCACCTTAGAGAAAAGAAGATTGCGTGGTAAGAACCCGCTCATCTGCTGGTATTTACGTATCTAAGACAGACACGTTGGTCCGTGCTTATGTCAGGTTTAAAAGAGCATCTGAAATGGGAAGTGAAAAGTCACTAGCACCATGACAGCCCTCAGGCAGTGGGAGCCAAAGAAGGCTTGCTGTGTTTGCAGGAGCTGTGTGCGTGCAGGAGAATCACAGAATGCATGCTGGAGCTTCCTGCCTTTATGGACATACACGTAGACTGCACTGGTCCAAAAGGAAAATAACAAAAGCATGTGATTTCACAGATAGCCAACCATTATCTGCAGATATTTGGGTCATCTCGTAGCTGTTGATACATTTTGTGTTACAGCCCCTGGAGAGTAAGCAGGAGTAACACGAGCAATGACCAGAACCCAGGATACCCCTACTTCCACCACAGGGAATTCTTCTATCGTGTTTTAATTATGGATTCAACATCCCCTCTCTTAATACCTTCTGTCTGATGCTACAACTTCTGCTTTTTGCAATACAGTGAGCCAGGTTCAGCAGAAGGCAAACAAGATGGTGGAGCTGTTCTGGTCCCATTTCTTGCTTGGTGCGTTCTGCTGGGAAGTCTGAGGAACAGCTCAAATCTCTGAAGCAGAACCAGAAGCTGTGCCCCCACTTCCAGGGCAAAAGCTCACTGAATATCATTGAATGGTTGGAGTTGGAAGGGGCCCTGTCTGGTCCCACTCCTGTCTGGTTGTCTGGTCCCACTCCTCACAATGCACAGAGCCACCAACAGCTCCATCACTGCTCACAGCCACATCCCCTGAGCTTGGGTGTCTGCAGGGATGGGGCACCACCACCTCTCTGAGTAACCTGTGCCTCACTGCCCTTATTGTGCATTACACAATATTATGGATATCACAGTATAGCCTCATCCTCTCTAACAGAATTTAATGTAGTCTTTGCAAGCTAGCCTTGACCACAGCGTGTCAAATGCTGTCAAACCTCTTTAGGAAGAGGTTAGCTGTTTCCCTGCTCCTGGGTTGTGACAGAGGCAGGATGCTTTGATCTCAATCTTCAGTTTTTCAGCCAAAAGGTGGTGAGGCAGTGGAACAGGTTGCCCAAGGAGGCTGTGGATGCCCCATCCCTGCATGTATTCAAAGCCAGGCTGGATGTGGCTCTGGGCAGCCTGGGCTGCTGGTTGGTGACCCTGCACACAGCAGGGGGTTGGAACTGGATGAGCATCCTTTCAACCCAGGCCATTCTATCATTCTATGATTCTCAGACAGGAGCACGAGAGCCACAGATATTTCAGAAGCTCTCTGAACCACAGAAGGGTGCATTTCTCCAACTTTACTCTCACTCCCAGGCAGTCCCACCTGCATCCCAAAACCACCTCGGCTCTACACAAGGGCAGGCGAAATGCATCCCTCAGTTATCTGCAGCAAAAAAGATGCTGTAACTTCAGATTTATATGGGAGTAACAAAACACACTGACAAACCATAAAATCTGAGCAGCTGTAAAGCTGGTAGCACCGAGACAAGATAAGATGAAAAAGGCAGATTGCCTGGAGAGACATCCCATAAAAATAACTCCTTGGTGCTGGCAGCAGCTCTTCTTTCATACAGCAGGGAGCTGCAAGAAGTGCAGTCTGCAGAGCAGTGGTTACCCAACGTACCCTCTGGCTGTGGATGATGTTTTTGTGCTCGCGGGCCACGCGGGTTGCCCATTTCCGAGCCTCCTTGTTGAGGCTGTGCTCTTCAGTCGTTCCAGTTTCTGATTCCAGTTGTCGACTCTGGAAGAGAAGACAGTAAGAGAATGAGTCATGAGAAAGCCCTGGGGTTAGGTGATAACTTGATCTTACATTATGAGGGCCATATAAGATAGGATGTAGGCCAGGATCTTGTTTCATACAAAACCAACTCTTCTCCTTATGAACTTTGTCATGGCAGCATGTTGAGGAAAGCCAACTGCAAAAGCAAAGCTCTAAAGAATTCACACCTCGCTGACTTGGGAAGATCAGTTTCACTGTGGCACTGAGCACCACAGTCCTACTGCAAAGATAGTTCTGGTGAATAAAAGTGAAATGCTATTTTGGCAATAGACTATTATCACAGAGATGAGGAATGAGCCGGTCTGGGAAGCCAACTCATTGATAGAGTAAATACACACCATAGGAAGCAAAGATGAGAAGTTAAGTGGGATACAACAGCAAAGCCACTTTCACTGTCCAGACAACAAATGTCTGCAGAATAGCAACTTACATTTCAAACCACAATTTCTGACAATGGTTCATATTAAGTCTGCTCCATTTCTTCCTCTCTAGAACTGCCAATGGAAGCAAGATGATGTAGGTCTCTGTTCTCAACAGACTGAGCAGAACCCTGGTGGGAATCTGAAGATGGACCTTCCAGTCCCAGTCCTCCAAAGTTTCCATATATGCAACAACCCTATGTGCACTTACACATCTCAGTCTTCGGATGCCCATCAGACTCAATTCTTCCATTCAAGTCAGTTTCCTGATGTTCCTTCTGTATTTGTGGCTGTGCTGTACACACCTACTGTACCTGTACTGCATGAGGATAACCGAGCAATGGATCTTTTCCTAGCCAGGCTCACTTCCCATCGGTGAGATTCTTACACCATCCATTTCACCACGCATTGTGTTCAAGAGACGTTTAGATTCAGATGTAGCACTGACATGGTTTAGTGGGAAATACTGGTGGTAGGTGGATGGTGGATAATAGGTGGATAGTGATAGGACAAAGGAAATGGCTTTAAAGTGAGCCAGGGGAGGTTTAGGTTGGATATGAGGAGGTTTTTGAGCCAGAGGGTGGTGAGGCACTGGAACAGGTTGCCCAAGGAGGCTGTGGATGCCCCATCCCTGCAGGCATTCAAGGCCAGGCTGGATGTGGCTCTGGGCAGCCTGGGCTGCTGGTTGGTGACCCTGCACACAGCAGGGGGTTGGAACTGGATGAGCATTGTGCTCCTTTGCAACCCAGGCCATTCTATCATTCTAAGATTCTCTGGAGCCTTAAAGCTCTGTGTTTTTCACACTGAAGTCTAAAACAGTTCACTTCAATGAAGGCATAAAGCAGCAAAGATTTATTGCAAGCAAACCATGAACATGAAACGCAACTGAAATCACAGCCCTTTCTTCTCCAAAGCTGAAAACAAGGGGCCACCCCAGCCAGTGCCCACGTGCAGGCTCAGCCTTACCACCAACCCCTGCAGGGAGGAGGAAGGGATATGCATGACGTTTTTCACACAGCTCAGAGCAGCTTTAAGGAAATCCTGAGTGATTTTGGTGCCCATTTTACTGTGTTACAGTGGAACGCAGCTCCTCTTGGTTTGGGAGGAGCAGAGAGGAGCACTGTGAAGCCCTGTGTATGGAACAAGTTCTCCAATTGGTTTTGATTTCCTCCTTTCTGATTCAATATTCATGTGGGGGATTACAACTAAGCTACAAATCACCATCACACAGACATCTCCTCTGCAAGGCAGATGCAGTGCAGCTGATGCCAGATGTGTGAGCACAGGGTCAGTGCAAAGGTTGTGGCTCTGCTTCTTCCCACCTCTGCTTTTGTTTTCGGTGCAGTCTCAAACCCCAAAGCTCTGGTTTCTGTTCCATGTCAGAGATTACAGCTGTTGATAGTGCTGGGCATTTTTCTACCAGGCACATCTGTTGTAGAGTGAAGATGAACACCCACCAATCCTATTTTTACTCTTACTGAAAAGTTCATTGAGTCTTTTCACTGAAATTAAGTTTTAGTTTAGAGCATAGCAGGTTCTTTTGCTTTGATGCATTTCCATGCTCCTCATTTGTCTCTGCAACCACAGCAGCTGCATTCACATCTAACATCACCACATCATCTGATTTTCCTCCTATAAGAAAGCAAAGAGGATTTCCAAAAAGTAGTGCATTGTTTGGACCTCTCCATATGGGCTTACAGAGATGGGGATAGTCATTATCATTATTATTATTATTAGCCAACAGCTTGTATTTCAGAAGCTTTTGTGCATTAAAATTTGTATCCCAAACATCAAATATTTATGTCAAATTATAAAAAATAAAAAATTATTTATAAAAGGAAGCTGTTTTAAAATATTTAAATGCATTTATTATTAAGCAAGCCTTAAATAAGTCTTAAAATATTTAAACATACTTAATATTAAAAGCTGGAAGGTGTAAATACAGAGGAAAGAAACAAATGGACCTCAGCTTTATAAGGATGTGCAGAGCCCCACCAAACTTTGCATTTGGCAAAGCAGAACCTTCTGCTGAGTCCTCCTTCCCATTTCCACAGCGTTTTCTGTCTGCTCTCAAACACTTCAGAGGTGGCAGAACTGGCCCAGCCATGGCCAAGCATCCCTTCTTCTACAAGCACAGGAGCACAGCCTGCTCAGAAATTCATGGAATTTGCCTATGGATGGTGAAGGGGTGAAGTTCAGCCTCATTTCCCCCGAGGGATGAGGGGTGAAGCTGCAAGACTTCCTGCCAGACTCACTGAGAGGTGGTTTCTCTGCAAACTACACAGAGGAAAATCCATTTCTCACATGGAGAAGGAGCCCTACGAATCATGTTTGGTGAGATTTTGGGGGAATGACAGCAGCAGTGATGTACAGGGGAAGCTACAGGCAAAGGCAGCAGATAGAGGCAGGAAGGAGCCCCACCTGCACAGCTGCTGTTGGCTGCTGGTGTTGCTGTCCTCCAGCACAGAGCACGTGATTTTTGCTGTTTGTCCCCTTTTCTCATCGGATAACATGTAGTTCAAGGAAAAGAACCTTTTTCCCAAGCAGGAGATAGAGAAAAGCTGGCTCATTTCCTTTCCATTTTGCCCCATTCTTATGTTATGCTTATCTTGGAAATGTGAGGACAGCACATTTGGATATTGATAGGACAAGGGGGAATGGCTTTTAAGTGAGACAGGGGAGGTTTAGGTTGGATATGAGGAGGAAGTTTTTGAGCCAGAGGGTGGTGAGGCAGTGGAACAGGTTGCCCAAGGAGGCTGTGGATGCCCCATCCCTGCAGGCATTCAAGGCCAGGCTGGATGTGGCTCTGGGCAGCCTGGGCTGCTGGTTGGCAACCTGCACACAGCAGGAAGTTGGAATTAGATGAGCATTGTGCTCCTTTGCAACCCAGCACATTCTGTGATTCTATGATTCTATGCTTTCAACAGATTATACTCTCCTTGTCTATAATACTCACAATTGTCATTTTTTCATTCCAGTAACACTTAAACATCCCAAATGTTGATGCCAGTCACAGTGTGTCATGTTTTCAGTCTGTATCTGTGTGCTCTTGGACCAGGCAGGCATTAAGCATTGGAGTGCAGATCACCCTACATACATCTCCTTCAGTGTTAGTGCTCAGTATGAGAACCATCATGCACATCCCCCAGGAACACAACACCAAAACCTTCTGCAGACCACGGATAAAGAGAGGATGTGGCAAAAGAATGCTTGGGAACTGCTCTGCTGTTATTCCATCATTCAGAGGACTTGCCTCAAATTCAGAAGCCAAATTCTGAGCTAAATCTTTCACTCACTATTAGTTACTACATGAGAAGTGGTTAAAACGTAGCCTGTCATTTTTCAGGCTGGATCCCATTAGTTGAGCTTAATTATTTGGGTCATAATGGAGTTTGTACGATTTTTTTTTTTTTTTTTTTTGGGAGGGGGGGTGTGTGTGAAAACTGGTTACAGTGTGAGCAGCCAGAAGGTCAGAAACTGCAGCACCAGGAAGAGATGCTTCAGCCCAGTTGGGTTTGCTGAGCCAGCAGGAGCTACACCCAAACTACAGAGGCAGCTGCAAACACAGAGAATCTCCTTCATTGCCTCTGCAGAGCTCCTGGTTAAGCAGTGCTGTGTGTATGATGTGAGGCCATGCAAGTGCTCATCAGAGAACCGTGTGATTTTCTGTGCTGAAGACTTGAACGTGAGTGAATTAAAGCTCTCTTTTACGTGGGGATTGCCCTCTGGAAAAGAACAACATGCAATAGTGATGGGCTGCATTGCCTCAGCGTGCACTGACAGCCTGCAGTTGTGCTGCAAGCTTCCCTGCTCACACCAGAGATGTAACCAGTCACACACATCACCATTCCGAGCTGTGAGATTGTAACTCACGGCCCCAAAGGACTGCAATGCCAATTACTAACACAGTGCAGAAGAGAAGCGTGAAGCTCACCTCCACATTCTTTTACTCTACCTTAAGTCTCACTATGGGAAAAGCCTGTTTGTTTTACAGATGGGTGATGCATCCTGTTGCCACCTCGACACGGCTGTGAATTCAGCATCCCCATGGCACATGCAGGGCAGGAGTGACACAAACACCGAGGGCAGATGACAAACACTACCATATACCTCTGCTATAGTCATTCTCATGGCACTGACAGGTGAGGGCTCGATGTCCACCAGCTGAACCGTGTTAAAACTCTGGAGGCAGAGATTGCACAGGGATGGAAACACAGCAGCAAAGGTTAGAGAGGCACAGCAATGGTTAGGGAGGTTCTGCTCACCGCACTGCAAACAACCCGACGTGGTGTGCAAAGGAGGGCTCTCTACAATGGAGCTGGGTGAGCAATCAGAACAACTTTAGAAACAGAAAGATAAGGGAAGCAGTGTTACAGGTGTTAGTATTTTTGGATTAATAACACATCCATTAGGAGAACTGCTCCATTTGATGACCTAAACTGGAGGTGAAGACTTTTTCATCCAAGTCAGTTTAATAAAGAATTAAAGACAAACAAAGCTGAGTAAGGTTCACTCTTTTCTTTAGGCCAGATTTACTTTACATTGCTATTTCTTATGAAAACATCCATGGTGTGGGTGGTATATCAACATGTCCCTTTTTTTTGAAGCGTTGATAGGAAATGTATTTACCTACTCTTAATTTTAACACCATTAACGATTGCTTTGCAAACAACACATGTCCCAGCACGGTATTTTCCAAGGATTTTTGGAAGGCAATGTTTTAATGGCACTCTTTCTAAATTAAGAACTTCTTATATGTAGCCTTCCAATATCTGAAGGGAGCATATAAACAGGAGGAGAACAGCTGCTTGTGAGAGTGGATAGCACAAGGGGGAATGGTTTTAAAGTGAGACAGGGGAGGTTTAGGTTGGATATGAGGAAGAAGTTTTTGAGCCAGAGGGTGGTGAGGCACTGGAACAGGTTGCCCAAGGAGGTTGTGGATGCCCCATCCCTGCAGGCATCCAAGGCCAGGCTGGATGTGGCTCTGGGCAGCCTGGGCTGCTGGTTGGCAACCCTGCACACAGCAGGGGGTTGGAACTGGATGAGCATTGTGCTCCTTTGCAACCCAGCCCATTCCATGATTCTATCATTCTCTGATATGTACCTACAGATATTCCTGGAGTAATGCAGAGGAACCAGGATGCTGTGTTTTGGGGACCTCACCTGAGCTAGCAACATTCAGTGAGGATTTGGGTGCAAGTGGAGAAACAGAGGACTGCTATCATCCTGCAGGAAGCTTGCTAAAAAGATCTGGCTTTTCTATGGCCAATGTGGAGCCTGTGTGGTGCTCCATTACCAACCACAAGCAAAGCTGCTGCAATTGGGCCACAGTGTGAGCTTCAGACTGATAGACCAGTGATCACTGTGAGCTTCAGACTGGCACACCAGTGAGCACTGCTCTCTCCCCTGTCTGTAACATTCTTAAAAATAGAGCAAGGGCAAATAAAGCAAAGGAATTCAGGGTGTCCTTACAGTGTCGCTGTCGCTCGGTTGGAACTGGAAGGGCTGTGGTTTGTGAAACACAGAGTTCTCCTGTAAAAACTGCTGTAGATTGTAGTCTCGCACCACCTGGAACATAAGAAATGACATTTAGAGAGGCTGCTTCCCAAGTTGAAGTAAAACAGATGTTTCCAGAACAGACCACATTTGCAGCAGAACCTCGAATGCAACAAAAGGAAAGGTAGATAACAGCAGAACAAGGGGAAATGGTTTGAAGTTGAGGGAGGGAAGATTGAGGTTGGATGTCAGGGGGAAGTTCTTTGGTCTGAGAATGGTGAGGTGCTGGAACAGCTGCCCAGAGAGGCTGTGGATGCCCCATCCATCCCTGGAGGTGTTCAAGGCCAGGTTGGATGGGGCCCTGGGCAGCCTGGGCTGCTGTGAAATGTGGAGGTTGGTGGCCCTGCGTGTGGTGGGGATTGGAGCTTCATGATCCTTGAGGTCCCTTCCAACCTGGGACATTCTGTGATTCTATGATTCTGTGTGAAATGCACAGGCTGGTTCTGAGCCACAGAAGTGACCCACAGGACACACACTGGAAGAAAGCAACCTAACTGATACCTGCTGATAATCAAGGACAAACAGCCCAAAGGCAAAATGGGAGACAAGCCCTACAGACAGCCCAGCCCTTCCCCTCCATAAACACCACCCTCTCCTCTTGAACACTGTTCTTTGTACAGTTTCTTATACTGAAATGTATTTTCTTTACACAGATCAGTGCTTGCAGGAGCTGAAAGGACCATCTGGGAGAACGGATAGAAAATCAGTTACAAAACTCATTCCTTTCTGTTTCATCCCCAGGAATCAGCAGCACTGTGGTCAGCAATGCTGAACTCTGCTGTGTGTGAGCAGGGAAACACCACCTGTGCTCAGTGTGCACTGCAGTGGTGATGGCTGCGTTTCCAGAAGGCTGCACAGCAAAAAATCCATCTTAAGCTCCAGAGAGAAATGTAAATAGTCCTCCAGGGCTGGAATTGCAGGGATTTAAAACAGTAAAGTGCATAATTACTGCTCCAATTGGAAGAGTTTAGAATAAACACAGTGAAAGATGTAGCATCAGCCCTCCTACAGTGAGGGTGTAGATCAGAAAACTCCACGCTGTGGATACTGAGGGCAGAACAGAACATACTTCCTTTTAATGCTTTCAGTTTAGATTGAGTCGAAAGCAATTCCTTTTTTCAGGTAAAAAAAAGCACCTTCAAAACAGCACTGTGCAGAAATGCTCCAGGGATGCAGCACGGCTGTATATCACAGCTGCAGGGGAGCTGTGTGAAAGGGTGAATGCTGGGAGCACAATGCACAATGCAGTTCACAACTGTTCAAAGCAGAATCAAAGGATGCCTGAGCCACACAGCCACCTCGAGCAGCAGCCTTCTCAAATGGATTTCCTGTTATTCAGAAATCAACCCCACGTTCTCCTGCAGTTTCTTTATGAAGTCAGTGTCTGTTGACATTTTAAAATAGACTTCTAGTCTAGACTTGAAGTCACTGGAACAGGTTGCTCAAGGAGGTTGTGGATGCTCCATCCCTGCAGGCATTCAAGGCCAGGCTGGATGTGGCTCTGGGCAGCCTGGGCTGCTGGTTGGTGACCCTGCACACAGCAGGGGGTTGGAACTGGGTGAGCACTGTGCTTCTTTTCAACCCAGGCCACGTTATCATTCTAAGATTCAGAGGTATGGCACATGCACAGTCAGACACGAGCAAAAATGCAGCCATTGGCCCCAGCTGGAAGAAGTGTCTAAAGGGAAACATCACAGAAATGCAATGACTCAAAGCAACAAATGGAATTTCAGAAACGTGGTTTTTAGCAAACCAAATCTTCCATGAGCAAACGCAGGAAGTACGAGTCCGAAGTGAGGCTGTCAGCTTGAAAGGAATCACTCAAAATGAGAATCATTTTGATTTGGAAGGGGTCTTTAGCACTCATCCAGCCCATCTCCCTGCAACAAACAGGGCCTTGCTTTTCCCTTAAAACAGTGCTATGTAGCATGGGGTTTCCTGGTGGATGAAAAACTGAACATGAGTCAGCAGTGTGCTCCTGCAGCTCAGAAAGCAAATGAGCAGAGGGGTGGCCAGCAGGGAAGGGGAGGGCATTGTCCCTCTCTGCTCTGCCCTCGTGAGGCCCCATCTGCAGCACTGCGCCCAGGTCTGGAGCCCCCAGTACAAGAAAGACAGGGAGCTGTTGGAGAGGGTCCAGAGGAGACACAAAGATGATCAGGGGGCTGCAGCACCTCCACTACAAAGACAGGCTGAGGGAGCTGGGCTTGTTCAGCATGGAGAAGAGAAGGCTGTGGGGTGAATCACTGCAGCCTTCCAGGACCTAAAGGGAGCCTACAAACAGGAGGGGAGTCAACTCTTGGAAAGGGGAGATGACAGCAGGACAAGGGGAAATGGTTTGAAGTGGAGGGAGGGCAGATTTCAGTTGGATGTCAGGGGGAAGTTGTTTGCTGTGAGAGTGGTGAGGTGCTGGAACAGCTGCCCAGAGAGGCTGTGGATGCCCCGTCCATCCCTGCAGGTGTTCAAGGCCAGGTTGGATGGGGCCCTGGGCAGCCTGGGCTGCTCTGAAATGTGGAGGTTGGTGGCCCTGCATGCAGCAGAGGGGTTGGAGCTTCATGATCTTTGTGGTCCTCTCATCATCTTTGTGGCCCTCCTCTGGACCCTCTCCAACAGCTCTCTGACTTAAGAGCAGTGTCTTAAAGATCCTACCCAACTCAAATGACTCTGCCATCCCATGATGTGAGCTGACCTGAGCAATGCACAGCAATGCAAATGACTGAAAGTCTTTTAGCAACAGAAGATAGAACAGCATTTCTCTTTCACTTCCAAATTACTACCCAAAGACAGCTTTGAAAGCAGCCTATTTTAATCCACTCACTGTATATCCAACAGGGTGCAAGCCTGCATGCTCACTGCTGAACACAGAACGTGTTATATGCGTTGTTCCAACACAACATGCTCTGTTTCTGTGCTGGTTCAGGTATCCATACAAAGGAATATTATGGCCACACTGCAGCAGCTCGTTTGTGCTCAATGGCAATTAGTATTTATTATTTTTTTTTTTAGCCCAGCACATGAATTATTGAAGTACCCAAATTATCCTGGAAGCGATCACGTATTTCTGATTCTGGCTGCTCAACAAAGCAAACAAACCACGACTGTGACAACACTCAGCTGCTCTCTGTGTTTGCCATTCTTAATTCAAAAGACAGAACGCTGCAATATTTTGTTTCTAAGCTGACAATCAATTATTAAGAGATGAGCCAAGCAGTTTGGTACAGTTTGAATGTCACGGATGAGTAATGTTGCTCCATATTATGCAGCACAGGACCCTCAGTGGCAGTTTCTCTTGGTTGTTGCTCTCTAGAAACCCTGTGCTGTATAAATGCACTCATGAGAATGCAGTCTGGGTGGCAATAGGAAAAAGTCTCCCCAGGAAAAGTGTCTCGTTTCTTTTAACTTAATACCACTCTGGAGCAACCAAAAATAATAAGCCTTCAGTTTTGTCATTATTTTGGAAGCAAGTCTGGGAACCTATATATGCCCTAAGTATTCGGTTACAAAGAATCATTCAGCTCAAGCTTACCCTGCTGGAAGTCTCCAGTAAAAACTGGAAGGTGTTCTGTACGGCTTGGCACGTCTCGAGTTCAGTCCTGCTGAATGCCATTAAATAATCCTTCAGGTGGTCGTATACGTTCCCATCCAGAGCCTGGAGGAAGAGGCAATGAATTAAAGAAAAGCACGATGCACTTCAGAGAGTGATGTACAGAATGATACAGTCATGGAATCACAAAGGTTGGAGATGACCTCCAAGATCCCCAGGCCCATGCCCACCCCATCCACCACACCATGGACTACGTCTCCAAGTGCCAGAATTCACTGCTCCAGAACACTTCTGGGGAGGAACCCACCACTCCAGGACAGCCTGTGCCAATTTATTAACAGTCACATTTCACTTTCTACAGTGTCCATTCTGAATGCTTTCAAGACATGATCACCCGTGCTTCCTGGAGCAGCCTCAGACAGTGACATGCAGACGTATTTCATTTTGACAGGGAGGAACTGCAGGGCTTATTTCCATTAGATGGCACCACAGAGCACCACAACGGTCCCATGCTGGGTTACACCATTTCCACCCAACTGCGTAAGGCAGCCACAGCTGAGCACTCAGCTCAGGTTTGGGGAGATGCTGTGATGGGACACGAGAGACCCAGGAGGGCCATGCGATGCCACCAGCCCAGAGATGCTCCAGGTGGCAGTGCAGGATGCTCCTCACCCGGTGCTTGGTGAGACCTGCTGGCTCATGGCACGCCATGGAATGTCAAATGCTGAGCAGAAATTTGGTGTAAGCTTAATAACTCCCTGAGGACAACAGTGGAGTTCAAATGGAGAAGTCCTGTTGTAACAGGAGCCATAAAACCACAGTGCACAGCCAAGGTTACGTGGAGGTTTAGTGCAAGCTGTTTGCTGAACAAACACCAGTTCTCAAGTAGCTGACAATTCCATTTAATGTCACATATTCATGCTAATGGTAGGTTTCCTTGGGGTCTCTTCCAATCCAAGATGTTCTATGTTCCAGATCTGGAGGTTCTTGGCCCTGCCCCTGTGGCAGGGGGGTTGGAACTTGATCCAAAATTGTATAACCCAAATGTGCTTCAAAAGGCACTGCTTTCCTCACCACCCAGCCACCAAGCACAGCTCTACTGATGGGCTGTCTTGCAACACACTGCTAGTTCCTAAGGCATGATCTGCTGCCAGAAGGAAGGGATGGCATGCAGGGGGACGTGGGCAGGATGGAGAGGTGGGCCCATGCCAACAACCTCGTGCAGTTCAAGAAGGCCGAGTGCGAGGTCCTGCAGCTGGGTGGGGGCAATCCCAAGCACAGGCAGAGGTTGGGCAGAGAATGGCTTGAGAGCAGCCCTGAGGAGAAGGATTTGGGGGTGTGGGTGGATGGAAGCCTCAGCGTGAGCCGGCGATGTGCGCTGGCAGCCCAGAAGGCCAACGGTAAGCTGGGCTGCATGGAGAGAAGTGTGAGCAGCAGGGCGAGGGAGGTGATTCTGCCCCCTGCTCTGCTTTTGTGAGACCCCACCTGGAGCACTGCATCCAGTTCTGGGGCCCTGAACACAAGAAGGACACGGAGCTGTTGGAGAGGGTCCAGAGCAGGGCAGTGAGGATGATCAAAGGGCTGGAACACCTCTACTATGGGGACAGGCTGAGAAAGCTGGGAGTCTGCAGACTGGAGAAGAGAAGGCTCCAAGGAGACCTTATAGCGGCCTGCCAGGACCTGGGGGGGGCTATAGGAAAGCTGGGGAGGGACTTTTTATATGGCCAGATGTTGACAGGACAAGGGGAAATGGTTTTAAACTGGGAGAGGGTAGATTTAGACTAGGGATTAGGAAGAAATTCCATCCTGTGAGGGTGGTGAGACACTGGCACAGGTTGCCCTGCCAGGCTGTGGATGCCCCCTCCCTGGAAGCACTGAAGGCCAGGCTGGATGGGGCTGTGAGCAACCTGGGCTATGGGAGGTGTCCCTGCCTACAGCAGGGGGTTGGGAGTGGGTGAGCTTCAAGGTCCTTCCAACCCAAATCATTCTACCATTCCATAATCCCATCCTGGGGGTTTTACCTTTGACACTCAGCGCTTCTATAACGTTAAATCCTCGCTGTAATTATAGCAATTATGCAACCAGCAGTTAGTGCTCCCTTTATCTTCACATCAAACACACACTGCTCCAACAGCAGCCCTGTTGTGCACTTGCAGAGAACACAAACGGTGCATTTATACATTTCATTTCACAAATGAAATTGCTGAGAACTGCTGCATGCCAGTGGCCATCCTGATACTGCCCCAAATGCAGCCTGCAGGCTTTTGGGATCAAGTAATTCTGTCCCTGAAGCTTTTCAGACCAAACACTGCATCGGAGCTTATATCTGCTAATAAATGGAAATAAACAGTTTCAACCTGGCAAAGCAGTTGTAACTGGTCAGTTTCATAGAATGACAGAATGGGCTGGGTTGCAAAGGAGCACAATGCTCATCCAGTTCCAACCCCCTGCTGTGTGCAGGTCGACAACCAGCAGCCCAGGCTGCCCAGAGCCACATCCAGCCTGGCCTTGAATGCCTGCAGGGATGGGGCATCCACAGCCTCCTTGGGCAACCTGTTCCAGTGCCTCACCTCCCTCTGGCTGAAAAAGTTTGCAAACCAGCTGCCAGTTTTATTCCAGTATGCTGTCAATAGTGCTTCCCAACCCCCAAAAGCAACTATCAGAGCTCTCCCCGCTGTCATGTCATGCTGCTTTCATGTCAGGCCCAGCAGGAGGGACTCCTGCCATTCTGCTGATGACTAAACTGTGTTGGAGTGGGTCCCTGCAGGCCCTACACAGCTGGCATTACAGCACCCTGAGGCAGATGATGGTAAATATAGGGGAAGCTCAGTTGTTCCTACACAGTTGTTCCTATACACTGACCTACAGTGCCCTGGAATAAGTAGAAGTACACACTGTGCTCATGGAAAGGGGATGGATGTTGATTTTAGGTTGGATGTCAGGGGGAAGTTGTTTGCTGTGAGAGTGGTGAGGTGCTGGAACAGCTGCCCAGAGAGGCTGTGGATGCCCCGTCCATCCCTGCAGGTGTTCAAGGCCAGGTTGGATGGGGCCCTGGGCAGCCTGGGCTGCTCTGAAATGTGGAGGTTGGTGGCCCTGCCTGTGGTGGGGGGTTGGAGCTTCATGATCCTTGAGGTCCTTTCCAAGCCAAGCCATTCTATGATTCTGTGTGAAAGGGAGAGGAATCCCATCTCAAGGCCTGCTTGTTCCCTGCAACTTCTACCTGCAGCTCCCTTGGAATGACTGTTTTAATCCGCAGCTGCATTCTGCAGTTCTAGAAATGTAAGAAGATACAGAACACTGAGTTCACTTTTATCCACAGCCCTGAAGTTACTCCCCGTTATACTTTCAGAGGTGACACAGAGGGCATAGAAGGAATACAAAGTCGAAGAAAAGCCTGGTGAAACACCAGCATGCACACAGATCTGTCAGCACAGCAAAACTGCAGCACAGCAAAACTGCAGCACAGCCTCCATCCTGCCATTAATTAACAGTGCTTTGGCTGCGATGAAATCCTTAAATAACAATAAGAGCTTCCAGGCCTGAAGTTATTATAGTCAGTGCCATACAAGGCAGCCACACACACCCACAGCTTCAACACATGCTGGAAAGCTCAGAACATGGAAACAGATTTATATGGGAAAAGTGGCAGTGCCACCAACCAGAGGATGAAAGCTTCCATGCTGTGCATCCATCCATATCACATGATGGCAATGGCTGTATCACAGAATCCTTAGAGTTGGAAAGGACCTCTGAAAGCCATCCAGTCCAACTGCCCTGCACTGCACAGGGACACACAGCTAGGTCAGGTTGCCCAGGGCCTGATCCAGCCTCAGCTGCAAAGTGTCCAGGGATGAAGCATCCAGCACATCTCTGGGCAGTCTGTTCAGTGCCTCACCACCCTCTCTGTAACAGACTTTTTCCTTACATCCAACCTAAATCTCCCCTCTTTGAGCGTGAAGCCATTTCTTCTTGTTCTGCCAGCACAGACCCTGCTCAGTAGTCTGTCCTCTTCTTTCCTGTCGCTCCCCTTTAGATGCTGACAGGCTGCTCTCAGCTCACCTCGCAGCCTTCCCTTCTCTTCTCCATCTGCACAGCCCCAGCTCTCAGCCTGTCCTCATAGGAGAGCTGTTTCATCCCTGGCATCATTTTTGTGGCCCTCTTCTGGATGCTCTCCAACACCTCCATGTATCTCCTGCACTGAGGACTCCACATCTGGACGCAGTGCTCCAGGTGAGGCTTCACAGCACAGAGCAGAGGGGCAGGATCACCTCCCTGACCTGCTGGCCGCGCTGCTTTGGATGCAGCCTAGGGTCTGTGAGGGCACATTGCTGACTCTTGTACAGCTTCCATCCACCTGTACCCCCAGGTCTCTCAGCAGGTCTGCACTCAATCCTTACATCCCCCAGCTTGTATTGGTTGTGATGGTTGCCTCAACCCAGGTGCAAACCTTACACTTGGCTTTGTTGAATCTCACGAGGTTCACCTGGCCCCAATGCTCTGCCTGTCTGGGTCCCTCTGGATGGCATCCCATCCCTCTGGTGAATCACTGCAGCCCACAGCTTGGGGTCATCAGCAAACTGCTGAGCTGCATTCAACCCCACTGTTGATGTCACTGGTGAAGATACTGAAGAATGGCCCTACAACCCCTCATGGCCCTACAGCCATGAGCTCCAGCACTGACTGCTGTGGGACACCACTCATCACAGATCTCCATCCAGACACGCAGCCATTGACCCCTGGCTGGGTATGCTCATACTAAAAGAAAGGATTTCACCTGCTGAGCTACATCCTATGCATTAACAGTCCCGTGGGACCTCAGCACAGCTGACGTGGAGCTCAGAGCTCAGGTGTGCACACACACTTGAGGAGCTGTAGGGCCATGAGGGCCATAGGGTCTTGAGGGCTGTAGGGTCTTGAGGGCTATAGGGCCATGAGGAGCTGTAGAGCCATGAGGGGCTGCAGGGCCATGAGGGGCTGCAGGGCCATGAGGGGCTGCAGGGCTGTGAGGAGCTGTAGGGCCATGAAGGGCTGTAGGGCCATGAGGGGGCTGTAGAGCCATGAGGGGCTGTAGGGCTGTGAGGAGCTGTAGGGCCATGAGGGGCTGT